TTTTTGTTAAGAATGAATCCGACATTGTCAACAGAAGAAAATGTGCAGTAAGGGTCACGGAGCACGCCACATTATTAAAAGCTCAGAGGTGTTACACATTTAAATAGGCAGAATGTTAAAAAAAGAACTTTGACATTTACATACTAGACTTGTTGCAGTTTAGATTTTGAAATATGAATTGTTGTCAGCTTGAATTGATAGCCAACGTATTGAAAGTTGGCTGTAATTTGCCCTCTGAGAATAGTAATACAGAGAAGCAGATGGGTTTTCAGAGTAACAAATTGTGGTGTATATATAGCTGTGGCTTTGCAGCACTTTCACCTTCACTGTGGAGCAGCCGCTGATCCCAGATGTATCCAGACTACAATCATAATGAAGAGCAGATCAGAAAGATTTGTGGTTGATGAGAAGTTAGTATCAGACATGGACGGGTGGAAGACAATGGTGTGTAAAGCTCTCCATTACGTTTCAGTTTAAGGATATGATTCCGATACCTACATTGAGCTTATAATGGGCGATTCTATTCTCAATGGCCCTCTAACTATACATCGAAGATTCTGGCAACTGAGAGATTTTGGGATTGGATTAGAGAAGATAGCTCCAGTGAGGAGCGACTCAAACACAGGTGCAATGGGGAAGCCAGGACCACCATAAACATGATGTCCCCAATAATAATAACAATAATCCTTGCATTTGATATAACGTTTATCATATCCAGACATCTCAAAGCGCTTCACAGAATATACTGTAAAGTGAATTGACTGAATATTTTTTGGGTGAAATAACAATAATAATAATAATCCTTGCATTTGATATAACACTTATTACGTCATCGAGACATCTCAAGGTGCTTCACGGGAGTAACTGTAAAGTGTAATGCCAGCATTTGTAGACATATGCCAGCCAATTTATGCACAGGAATATCCTGCAAACAGTCAGGAAGTGAAAAGGCATCCTGCTTTGCTATAAGCAAATGGTTGTTTTTTTATGTATGAATCCATATTGTTTTATTTATAAAGATGATTCAACACCTGGAGCATTACAGCTGAGCCTGATCCTGTCCTTATCCAATGTGCACCAGGTGTGCTCTGAACAGCAGTGTGATCTCAGGGTGATGATATTCATTCATTGCCTCAAATTATTGTCAGTGTCAAGTCCAGCTCTTCCCTGTAACTAATGTCAGACAACTCTGAACACAGATGCAAGTTCGGAAAGACAACATTGGATCATTCTATTGCTGTACGTCTCTTCAAGTGAAAGATTACAATACTCACACATTTCTCATATCAACTCTGCAAATGTCTACACATTTGCGTCCATTTTCGATCACTGTCATTGTCACCAAGCACGCAAAGGACAACATAATGGGCTGCATTCGACTAACTGATTCAGATTGTTCTCACCAGTTTCGGTTTTCATTATGATGAACCGCCATCACTCAGTTTTGGAATGAAGCATTACTGTAAACACACTTTCCGAACTCTTTCCGAGCGCGAGGATTCTATTCCATCATGTTCTGATCTACATGCCACAGTTGTCAGTCTGTGAATTAACAAAAAAAATTCTGATTCGATGTTCCATTTTTATAGGTCATCTGTTCTTGGTTTAAATCAGCGAAAAAGTTTGACGCGTTTCCTGATATTTTTAGCTTCAACAAAATTATCATGAGTTTTCAACAAAAAAAAAGCAGACTATGTCGGGCACGCTCTTTTTAATGGCTGATTAACTCTCCAGTAAACCTGGTGTAAATGGGAAAATTTGAACTTTATATGTTATGTAGTCTTTCCAATAGTATGTTCCTCTGGGATTTCAATTCCAAGCCCCGTGATAATGTTATGTTTCCCAGAGTTTGTCGCCTTATATTGTGGCTTTCTAGTAGCTTGCTCGCATAATGAATCCAGGCCAGTATCAGGCGTTGGCCCCTCATTATTCTGTGCAGAATAACCAGGAATGTGGGAATGTAGCCGGGCGAGATGGCAGGGGAGCCCTGTCACTGTGTGTATGAGATGGGCCTCTTCATAAATAGAAAATGACAGCTGGGCTAATGATGTCACCGAAGATGGAACAACTGCTGCATCTCATTGTGTGCCTGGCAGTGAAACCAGGGCTTCCTGCTGGTCGCTGCGCATCTGGATAATGAAAAGAACATACTGTCAGTAAAGTCGATCGGATATGTCGTGGTAGTTATTACTGATAAACATTTGCCCAATATTTTGGACTATGAACTGGGGAAAAGTCATCATGTAGGTCAGAGCCAATCAGATAAGAGACACAGATAGGTCGATCTCGGAGACCTAGACCGTGCAGAGAATGAATGTTTTATAGACAGCCGCGGAGAGGCTGATTGAAGTATATTGGAAGCCTACACGCTGACGCCAGGCATAAGCTGTCTAGAACTCTTGCTGGCTGAGAGATTGCAGTTTCCTTCCCTGTAAAGGCGTGCTCCATCACGTACCCGTGTCACGTTTTCCATTTCAATCCGGCGACGCAAGCCTTTGAATTTTCTGTCTGATCCTCTGACTTGATGTACTTGCTGGCCATTGTCAGTGACAGTGCAAGGAGCTCCGTCTGTAAAAATAGAATGCTCAAAGGAAGTACGATTGCAATGTTTCCAAATTCAAATTATGTAATGTAATTGACTCTGAGAGTGAATTGCAGAAGAGGTGTATTCAATAAATTGTCCCATCAAAACATTCTTCTGTGTTGTGTAAGGGACAATGACATTGGAAACATCAAACTTGCTTCGATTTGTGCACTACATTCATTCTCCATATACCTAGAGAAAAGGTCCAAATCTTTAGGAGATTTGAAGCTGTCTGTCCTAAGAATAAATCCCACCTGCCCACACCCATGTTGCCTACCTGCACCCCCACAGAAATTAGTAACAAAGCTACATTTTATTAGTAAACCTTGCTTGCAACCAAAGGATCCAATATGGAATATAGATTGACAGACAGATATATATTTCGTCTTTATATATACTCAGCTGGCAGGACTCCTGTGGGAGGACTCAGTGGGAGGACTCCTTTAATATATATTCTTTCATAGTCTCTCTCTCAGTCTCCCTCTCTCTGTCTTTCTCTCCCAGTATCTCTCTGACTCGCGCTCTCTCAGTTTGTCTCATTCTATCCCTTTTTCAGTCTTCCTCTCACACAAAACACAAAGTCACTGCACATGATAATATATTCTCTCCCCCAGTCTCTCTCACTATCTCAGTCTGTCTTTCTCTCTGTTTGTCCCACATGGGAGGGACTCTAGCTCCCATGACAAGCAGAACAAGTGCCATACATTTGTTGTAGAATATAGATGTGTCTCTCTGAGCAGTGTGTGCTTTCCTCTGTCGCTATGTAGTTGCAGAATATGATGCATACTTCATACTTTGGTGCTTAATTAAACTTTTTTAATATAGCTCATCGGAGATGCCCCCCATCCCCCTCTCAAATATGCCCCTGACACTGCTAGATGCAAGACCTTTCCAATGAGGTATAAATCATGTCTCTATGTCAAACAGTTATTGCAGGATTGTCAGATACACAGACATCTCATCCTTATTAGCATAGATGACAGATCCCATTTCCCCATATCTATCTCAGTATCAATTAATACCAATAGTTCCAAGCACCTATCCATCTCCTTCTCAGTAAACATCTTACCCGTCCTATTGGTGGCATCAGCAGTATTTGGCATTTAATTGAGCAATATTCTCTTGACTGCAGCGTCAGCTTCTGACGTTTGGGCTGAGTTGGTAAAGCCACTGTACATAGTGAACCTGAGGTATCCTGACCAGGGTGGTGCAGGGTTCGATCAACGGTCTGTGATTCAGGAATGGAAAGAGGAGTGTGTGATCCGACTCGTGTGTTATCGGGGCATCCAAAACATAACTTCGTTCTGAAATAAAAACAGAAGCCGCTGGGAACACTCGGGCAACATCTACAGAGAGAGGAAAGTGAGTTAACGTTAACTCACTTTCCTCTCTCCATAGATGCTGCCTGACCTGCTGCGTGTGCTTCTGTTTTTGTTTCAGATTTCTAGCATCTGTAGTATTTTGCCTTTTACTTCATTCTGATCTTATTTTCCATTATTTCTGGGAGGTTGAATGCAAATTTTTGCTTTGCTGTTGGTTTTGGTCAGATTTCTCTGTGGGATATCAGTGATTGGCTGCAGAGTGAGACACGTGGTGATGGTGTATGAAACAAGTCAGACAAAGAGATACCAGGCAGGAATGAGTTGGGTACAAGATATTGAATTGCTTTTGTCCAGATGATTTGTGTAAAAATAAAGTGGACTCAAATTGTAACAGCATGCACATGGCTGATTTATCGATTGCAATCATACATAGACACAAAAGATGAGTCGGCTATGCTGTTATGCTCAGAATTTTCATTGTTATGGTGAGATGGTAAACTGAGGTCAATTAAAGGCAATCACCTTACAGTATGAACTTTACTTCGAAGCAGCATGTTGCTGGTTCGCTGTGCTGATTATTGGTGCTGGAGGTAAAAATGTTTTCACTTCCATTGTTAAAAAGTGCCACTTTGGGAAATGATCGCTGAGTGAGATGTTAGTTGCTAAAGAAGGTTTGTGTATTCTGAACATGAAGTGATTGGCATCTCAGTTCCAGTAGCGAGGAGAGAGATGAGCTGCATAGGAATGTAGATATGACTTTTTAAAGTCAAGCAAAACCATCTTTTTTCTAGTTGTTTATCTGTTCTAATCCTGATGCTTGTAGATGTCCAGCAGTGCAGTGGACTCATAAACCACCAAGTAAAAATGACTGGAGTAAGCTAATGTTTCCTCTGACATTGTATTTGCTTCAACATTGTTGGAATTTACACTGTGTCACAGGGGAAAATGCTTTAATTTCAGTTTTTAAATTGTTCTATTAATTGTCCCCTATGATCACCCAATAGAAAGAGCAGTAAAACCATATGTGCTGAAATCCTTATCTTATTTACGAACTGTTTCTTTTTTTTCTCTCTCCCCTCCCATCCCCTTTACAGGACTTCAGGAAACTGGTGGCACCATTACTGAAGAGTTTCCAGGCAGAGGTGAGTCTCGGCTTTCACATGTTATAGTGTTAAAAATGGATTTTACCTGTTATTTTTGACCCGATCCAGACTTTAACTTCTAAAAGCAAAAATAACCATAAACCTGGATCGTTTGTGTAGGAATGTGATTGCGATTTTCATGCTGAAAACTTTCCTGCACTGTTGGGTGCTGCAGTGGATTTGACTGCTGCTCACAGTGATGTATCATCCTGGCTGCCCACTAATTGTGGCAAGCTCACACCTGAACATGTCTGTCACACGTAATGTCATAAACCCATTGTTTACACGCAGGCGTTTAACTTAAGTCACTCCTCCTTCCCCCTCCTAACCTGCAGAGGGAGGGAGATGAAGGAAACATGGAGATGTTCACATGCTAGTTACATCAGTTCGATCAGCCCATCAATACACAAGTAGTGATTGACTGATATCATTGAACATGCTGCATAACGACGACTCCCTGCTGGAGGTCAGGGGGAGAGTTGTATTGAGTTCCATTACAAAAAAGACTTTCACACCTGCCAAAGGTACAGAGGAGATCATTAGGATGATACCGAGGATCAGACTAGAAAACCTGAACGTTGGGGTGGTTTTTGATGGACAAGGAAGATTAAGGATTCCACCAAGTCAACATTTAGGTAACACCAAAAACAAGTTTGTAAATTTCACAAATCTTTCTGATGAGAGGTTTTAGGAAAGTTTATAAAGATACAACCCGGTGACGTACCTCGTACTGAATTTGTGTCAGCGACCACATCATATTGCTTCCATATGTTACAATTTTATCAAAATGTTCTTCTTTCTGCTCACTTCTCCCCTCACCCACCCCCCACATACACATCTGCACCTTGACACGTCTTTATACTTCCATCCTATCCCCCATTATTTCATGCTAATATAGGTCTTTAGATAGAATAAATCCGCTGTTTTTCAACATAAGATATGCTTGTTGTATTGAGGTCAATGGAAATCTAACCACATAGTTAGCCATTAGGTATGTCAGGACTTCTTTTTGAAGTTGAAAATGTCTTTTGCTAAAATGTCCCTAGAGGAGAATTCAAATGATAAGGTAACTGAAAAAAAACTCCTCTCCTTCAGCATGAGCCAAGATAGTTATTTACTGTGATTCCATGTCTGCCGTGCATTTATACCCTTGGGGTGGCTTTTGCATACTTTAATGTAAAAATTGCCTGGAATTGCTTGAATATTTACATAAATCCCAGGTTCTGCGCTACAGCTGGAATGTAAATGAAGCAGGTAATGATTCATTGCTTTTGAAAGGAGTCTATGCATCCGGAACTTATTTATTTCTAACAAATATTGGTAATGACAAGGCTTAGATTTTCTTTTTTAACTCAAAACACTTTGTGGTGGATTTAAATTCAATTAAAATGTAATTAAGTATTGGCAATGCCACCAAAGACTTTTTTATTCCTTTTAGGTTATGCTTTAATAGTATCTTGTACTGATACAGATTTTTCACATCGGGGCGTTATTTTTGTGAAGATGGGCTTGGGAATCCTCCTTTCATTTGTTAGCAAACGCAGAGTTACGTAAATCACACAAAGCTGTGGCACATCAGGAAAGTGCAGTGTCACTTGTCACATGTCTCTGTGGCATGGCCCACTACTGTCCAGCTGATGGATAAGTCTTTTTGCTGACTTTAAGATTCTAAACAACATCGATCATGTCAGGCTGTTTCAACTTGTCCAGAATAGTAAAACCAGAGGACATGGCCTGCAATTGAAGGGGGAAATTCAGAATGAATCTATGCAAACACTGTTTCAGTGAGCGAATAGTGAACCTGTGGAACAGGCTCCCGAGGGAGACGATTGAAGCAGGAAGTGTTGATTCTTTCAAACACAGATTAGGTAGTTTTCTTTTAGAAAATAACATTATGGGATATAGTACATAAGTAGTTTGGGACATATGTGCATATGACCGCCAGGGAGGTGGAAGGCGAACTAGATGGACCTTGATCTTTTTTTTTCTCTAGCATTTCTTATGTTCTTAAACTCCTTCAGACGGACCCCATTTCTTTTATTATTTCATTCCTAAATTTGTGAGTGATTATCTCTAACTCTTTGCAAATGTGAAGGGCCTGCAGGTTTCTGATCAATCCAGAGAGATCTGCAATTCGAGCCAGCACAGAATCTATCCAGCATAGATGGTTTGGTTGCAGAAATCTTGGTGTAGTCTTCGTACCAATAGACTGTTTCATGACCTTGAGGCTAGACTACGACTGCCACAGATAATGGATGGAAATTCTGAAATCATAGATTCTGAGCCAAGGAGCCTTCTTCAGCTGACCTTCTCTTGTGATTGTGATCAGCAGGATTAAAGCTGCTGCTCGATACAGACTGTTTATACTGATAACCTTTCTCAGACGCCGGATACTGAGCCACTCTCTGTTGTCCTAGTCAGTTGACATCAATTAGGTCTGAAGGGACACATTTCCTAAATTGACGCCTCCACTGTTTCCTCTCTGATCAACATTCTTCAGGATGCCTGAACCCAAAAATGTTGCAGTGACACCCATTATGACAATTGCCCTCAGCTGAACGTGCCACAGACTTCCTCAAGAGTACATTTGTTCCTTTCATAATTCAATTTCTTCTGAGGTAAAACTGGACGTGTAACGTAGGTTGTGAAAAACATCCCCTGTGTGGATAAAACAGGATCAGAACAGGACTCCATGACTGAACCCAAGATTGATTAGCCTGGCGCTCTCAGTATAGCTTCAGTTGTGGATAAACTACTGGACGGCTGCTGGTACCCCAACCAACACAAGGAAGAAATTGGCGGGAGGAGAGAAGGAGTGCTTCTGAATTTCCCTCTTTAGTTGATAACTTACTCAATGAATGAGGACAGATGTAGCCAAGGACAGGAATTGACTGTTCAAAGCTGTCTATTAGTTTAAGGGTTAAGTGCTGCAGACAAGGATTTCAGGAAGATGTTTGAAACTGCACAATGTAAACTCTCAAACTGTGTACTGCAGATCATCACCAGGAGGTCATTATTTATTGCATAACCCCATAAAACCGATTTAACCTTGTCCCCCTTCCCCCCTGAATACCATCAGTGTGCTAACTGGTTGCAGCAAATAGGGTAATTAGAAGCAGACTTTTTCTGCTCTTTTCCCACACAGTTACAGATGGTTAGATTCCTTTAATGTAGGGGAGGATATAACCATACTTACGATAGGAAATTAATGCTTGAAAAGGAAGCCAAATTCAATTTCATCCAGATATCTTGGGGATATGTTCGTGAGCAGCATGGAAGCAGGGAGGTGAAAAGTTTGCTTCTGAGAAAGGAGGCTGATTTTAGCCCTGTATTATTCATTGCGGAGCTGCCAGTAGTACCATTAATAAGGTCAGTTGTAGCAGGACTGGGCAGCTGCCAAACACCAAGGAACTTTAAATTAGTGAGGGAAGTATTTTTAGCCGATTGATCACTCAGAAAGACTTTTGTTACCGAAAAGGATCACAGCAAATTTAGAACTGGGGCTGGTCCTCGTGGCAGCTGTGCACTTTAGGACTTTAATGCCTGAAATTTAATTGCAGTTTTGAGACTTTGCCAGTTTCTGCCTGTGAGTATGGAAGCATTTACTCCATTTAGTTTACAAAAAGGATATTGAATTTGTTTGTAAATTTGGCCAAATCTGATGTTCTTTTTTGTAAACTAAACACAGTGAACTCCCAGGCACTGAATTGGCACAGAGCTTGGTCTGCGATCGGGAGAAGTTGAAATGATTTGAGCACCAACCCCAAATTGCAGACAGCTACAAAACCAGCCACCTGCACCCTCTCACCTGTCAGCCTGTGAACCCAGCTCTGGTAAAGGACATAAGGTGTCCTGCAACAACCAGCATCATAGACATTAGAGATAATTGAGTCCCGAAAGGGTTCACATGCCATGTATAAAATGTTATTAGTATTACTCTCTGCTTGTAAAGAGATTAAAGGTTTCTCTTTAAATTCTTTGAGCAAACAAACCCTCAGATAGCTGTAGCCACGTTGGCCTAAGGAGAAAGGAATTTGATATGCTTGTGAAATGACATCTGACTATGTGATGAGCGTCGGAATATTGCTGACTCACAGTCTGAGGAAGGGAGGTGGCGGGTGACCCTGATGTGAGGCAGACTGACCTGATCGTGCTCGTGGGGGGTGGGGTCAGCTCCGACCTCGCTGATGTTGCTGCCATTGAGGAGGGGTTACTCTCCACTCGGGCTGAGGTGATTCGATTTCCTTTGGAGGGGAGGTCAGGGAAGAGTGTGAAACATTTACCCATTATAGTTGCCACATCGAATGCAATTAATATTTCTTACACTCAATGTAGAAAAGGCATTTTTTCTGCTGGCTTGCTCAATGGAGGATGTAAAGTGGTCTTGGCTTTAGAACGTATCACCTGAATTCGTTTTTTTGTCTGGGGTCGACGAGCAGAGTTTGATGTACTCTTGATTGAAATGAACTTGTAACTCTTAGAGGTGAACAGACCTGTTTAGATGAACTTACCTTGTTTGGCTTCAGGGGATTCTCTCCAGGAATAGTTTGACTCTGGCTCCTGGAGCAGTAAGTGCGTAAATATTTAGTTTTGCTCTGCCCACTGTGAAAGTGATTAATTAAGGCTTCTGGTAATAAGACCCTTACCTACATCTCTCCCCTAATTTAGCAGCAGGTTTACTAAGTTACCATCTCTTACTGCGCTGTCGGAGCAGAAACTGGAGCAGAGAGCTTCACTTTTATTCCTGTTTACTGTAGCACTGCTTTTCTACACGGAGTGAACCAAGTGCCTGTGTGAACGGTCTAACTTTGTCTAGTGTGGCATGGAGTGCAGGTAAATAGTGGCCATTCATTTCAGTAAAACCAATTCAACTGATCAAAACTGGTTATTACCAGATCCACTGCCTTGTTTGCCGGATATGAAGCTGGTATATCACTAATACTTTGAGATGACTGGAACACGTGATAAGGCGCTATATCAAACGCAAGGCTTATTATTATTTGAAAGCGGCGGCCAGATGTCCAATGCTGCAGCCTGTCCAACAGCTAGGACCACTGAGCACAGTGTGGGAGAAGGACAGGTACATCTGATGTGCTGGGTATGGAATGTACCAGGAAATTGTCTCTTTATAGCAACCAAACTAATAATGTACTCAATAGACTGAGAGGAACTATGAGTGAGCGGGAAGTGCAAACTCAAATCCTATCCAGGGCAAAGTTCATGTGATTCCTTTCTGCACAAAAGATAACATCTTACTGCAAACTGCAAGAGAGCCGTTCTGGAGATGTGATGTGAGATATCCAAAACGTTCATAACTACCAGGGTTTCAGGAATGTAGATACATCCTACTGATTGTAAATGTTATAACGTACACCATTTATTCTACACCAGATTCAGCAGTTTGATCACACTTACAGATATAACCTTTTTAGTTCTCGGGCAAAAGCCAGTGATATTGTAGTTTGAATTTACTCGTACGTTGTTGTCGTATAAATGGTCTCCATTACATTGTGGTCTTGGATAGAATATGACTGATGTACAACTTTCCTGTAGCCGGTTGTGTTCAGTCTCCACTTGGTAGAACCATTTCTGTTTGAATAATAGGTGGGGGGGGGGCGATAACTAGATGGTTCTGTTGTAATTTAACTTGCATAGTTTAAATATGTTTATTCGATTGATTCTTTGTAGAGCCATTAACCTTTCCAAATAGTTTTTATGGACGAGACATTCTTTCCATGTTTCTCCTAGGGGAGAATGCTCTGCTCTCCCAGACTGAATTCATTTCTTAATTGTAATTGTTTCAAATTTATTAAGATTTAAGTTTATTAGAGTTCAAGATTAATTCATTATAGACGTGATATTTCCACTTTATCCTTTTAATTGCAGTTTATGGGCGCCTCGTTTAAACCCTGTACATTCAACATTGTTTATTGAAATAATGGCCATCTTGAGTAATGTGCGTGTGGAGTGTTCCAACAGTGGTTTCTGGTGGGCGTTTTACAGTTAACATATGCTACTGTTGGAACAATGAAACCCTGGTAGCAGCAAAAGCTCTTCCAACCCCAAAGCCCAACTTCAGCCGACCTCGTCCTCAAACAGCCTGTTCCTTCCTCTTCATTTAAACGAGCAAAATTTGTTTTTTAAAAGTAATGTCTTATTGGAGAGAGCGCTGCTGCGATTAACTCCATATAAAGGAAACGATAAGTTTTCTTCTAAAATATGAAACCATATTAAATGTCTGACTGTCAGCAAGTGATGCAGCCCAGCACCATTCAGTGGTTTGGCTCATAATCCATTGTCCCAATCTGTGTGATTATACAATCAAATCAATCACAACACAATTGTAATTGGTGCCAACGTCAAGTTGCTCTCCTTAGAGAGCGAAAATGGGATGTATACTTTCCTGAATTGTGTGTGTGTCCAGGCAAAAAGTGCTTCTTAGCTCTGAAACCCTTAAAGTCCTCATTAGACTCCACAGTGTGAAGCAGTGCTAGAGTGGTGTTCCAGCAGAACTACTGTACATAAAGAGGTGTAAACGTGTAGATGGGTAGATTCAGTGTTAATGACAGTACACAGCTCATTCTGTGAGTGTTCCACCTAGAAAGAACAAACATGCTGTTTGTCAGGGCATCTGTGGTAGGGTTTTTGTTCTGGCTGTGTACAGTAGAGGTCAGAAGGCCTGAGCAACAACAATTTACACTTATATAGTGCCCTCCACACAGGGCAGCGTCTCAGAGTGTTTCACAGCACAGATTGTAACAGTTACTCTCCTAAGGAGCTGAATATTTTTCGGTGGATCATTTCCTTTTGGTTTGTTCCAAGTCTGAAATGCACAGCTAGTAATTTCTCAAGTGAAATGCTATTAAGTAGATCTTTTATGACGTAGGTATGGTTACTTGCTTGGAAAAATAGGCTTGAAATAGTTTTGAGATGTTTAAATTGTGTGCATGAGAAATGAGATCCACCCTTCTGAGAGCAGAGTGTTTCAATACTGTGATTGTGTCAAATGGACTCTTTTGTTCAGTTTCTGGCCTATGCAGAGCTGTTTGTAATAGTTTGTTGATGGCATTAAAGGATTGTGTGGGTGCAGTTTCAATTAGTGTCAGTTTTACTAGCTGCTATCAAACTGACTACGGGTTCAAAAACGTTTTCAACTCTACGCTGAACGATTGTTGACGAAGAGTTTCCTTTCAGACTGTACAAATAAAATCTTTTTTTAAAAAAAAGCTCCCGTGGGAGGTGCATCATTCTTTGTGGAGCAGTATGTTTCTGTCATTACAAGGCCTGTCTGTGATCACTGGCTGAGTAACCGAGCTCCTTGTGTTCAGTTACACTGGGCAGTCACCAGGTTTTACAATCGTCACCAACTTGGCCATTCACTTTCTTCCTAAGTCTATTTGTGGAAATTATTAAAGGATTTTTATAACTGTATCTAAACCTTGGCCGTTTTTTGCCTTTAACTCACTTTCAATTTTTGAATTTGAAGAGAAACATTTTAATCACACAATAATGAATTTACAGCCAACGACAGATGTCTTTTTTGCATGTGAAAAAATACCATAACCCATAAAGAAACAATGCTTTACGATTAGTCCAAAACCACTTACAAATGTGAGTTCAGTTTTCTGATTGGAAAAATTGCAAAATTGTAGGCTTTCTGGGCATGAGGTGTTGATGATTATTGGAGTCCTGTAGCTCAGTCGCACTCGCCTTGCAAGCAAGAGACTTGGGTTTGATTCCCGGCAGGGCGAAAACTTGGGCAAGTTTCCTTACTCCAAATGCCTGATAATAATCCCTCAAGAAAAAAAATAACAATTTGGTCACTCAGTCCACGACTGTTTGCGGGACGCTGCTGTGCGCAATTGGCTGCCGCGTTTCACCCACAAATATTCAGTCAATTCACTTCACAGTATATTCTGTGAAGTGCTTTGTGTTGTCTAGAAGACAGTAAAAGCGCAATATTAAATACAAGGATTATTATTATTTAGCGCCCAATCACGTTAGTGTTTCAGCGCGGCTTTCAACCACTACACCCTGAAACTCTGGAACCCTCTTCCTCTGTCCCTCCTCCTTGCCCCTTTCTTTCCCATCTTCAGTGCGTGCCTGAAGACCTTCCTATCCTACGGCCACACACCCCCCATTCCCCCCTCCCCAGCATCACACCCTGTTTTACCGAGGGTTAGAGCTACATGAGTTTCAGTGAAATACGTTTCAGCAGAAGGTAGGTAGGGCCTGGCTTTAATGAAGATGGCCTCACTGTGTAAGCAAGCCAACAGGGGCAGAGAACTATTAAACCTGATTACGTTGGCACTATACTTGTGGCGCCCCTCACAGCGACAATGTACTAAGCCAAACTGTTCGTTATTCTACTTGGGACAAAATGTGTCAGAGGGAGTGAGAGACATTTAACATAGCAAAAAATCATGGAGGAACAAAATGTCAAACTAACAAAGGGTTGTGAGCGTGTGGTAAATGTTACATAATTCCTGTTAGATAATCACGGGGAGCTTTGTAAGATGGACAGACACTCCTGTGATCCCGTTGAGGTGAACTGACATCCGATGTCACTCTGGAGTTTGAATTCATACAGAGGCCAAATGGTGGCACATGAGTCTGCTCTGGAGACTGGTTCTGGGACAGGCCAGACATGTCGGTGAAGAAGAGGATAGAGAGAGAGGAGAGATACTGTAGAAACAAAAAGTATGTAAATAAAAAGATGAGTAAAATGGCCTTAGGAAGGGAGGATGGTGACTTAACCTTTCCTCTTTTAATGTTCCTCCAGCATTTGTTTTTCTGTTTAGTCGACATTATGAAATGGGAAAAAAAGCTGCCGTTGTTTTTTTGCAAAAGCTGCAAGTTACAAGCCTGGCAAGCTCACAGCTGGATGTGTAAAGGGACTTTTTCAATGGTGATTTCTGAGCAGGCCATGTTCGTGGAAGAATTGTGAATATGTCAGTAACTTTTACAGCATGAATACCCTTTTCCGGCAGGTGCTTTGTTATGGGATGATCCTAGATCCTTGGGATTTAAGTGGTCACCTCCTGAACTAGCTTTGCCCAAAGCGTTGATGTTCAGAGGTTTTGGGATTGGGATGTGGAATTGAATCAGTATCTGTGGTTTATTCGAAGGAAAGAAAATCACATTTTGCTTTAAAAAGAAACTTCTGCTTTGTGTGTTCCAGATTGATGCGTTAAGTAAAAGGAGCAAAGAAGCAGAGGCAGCCTTCTTGAATGTTTACAAAAGATTAATTGATGTTCCAGGTACGTAACCAGAACATAGTGATTGATGATGCAGCCCAGCGTATTTCCTGACACTTCTGTGGATGGTTTGGAAATGGTTTGTTTTCTTCCTTCTCGCTCCAGGGTTTGGTTCCAGACTAGGCTGTTAACCCCTCAACTGCTGATAGACCAAGGGAAAGGTCTGATTCCGATTTGCAGTTCAGCATACAGAGTGTAAAATAAATGTTTGATTGCAATGCCAGGAGGTTGTTAGTACTTGAAAATCCCCCAAATCGCAAACTTAACATTAAAATAAAGTGTACAATCCTGTAATGCTGTCTGTTCGATTGTATCGCCCTCAAATTCAACTTCACAGTAAATCCTGTGAATCGCTTTAGGATGTCCTCCTGACCTGAAAGGCACTGTATAAAATGCAAGTATTATTAGTGTTATCCTGTTCCACCATTTCTTCATTCACATTTTTAGTTTCTAATCCACTTAAAATACAAATTACAAACATTTTGTAATTTTAAATATAAATATTTGTGCAGTGCATTTTTTTTTGCTTTTCTGATTTCACGCAGAGTTCAGTTTTATTCTGTTTTGTGCCCGATTGTTAAATGCAACTAAGGTGGTGTCATACAGTGCGTGCATTTTCATTGTATCCTATTCTGGATTACTTCAGACAGGGTTTGTGTTGTACAATCTGATTTCCCTCACTGCCTGTCGTCCTAAATGTACCATTTGATCTTGGCCACCATTTTTCCAACTGGGTGCTTGTATTCTAATCCCAATCCACAGAGACTATCTTGCTCTGCTCCTCGTTTTCCAATGTGCTGTTGCTGGTTAAGCATCCCTGTTGGGTCAGTGAGGGGAACCACTCAGTAAATCATGGCTGCTGTGGTTAGGGTTCCTATCACGATAACTCACGCTGGATGCCTGTAACGTGCCTGAAATATGGGGGAAGCTTCACTGGTGCCAAAGTGTATAATGTAAAATATTGTATCTGGGGGCGGCCAGGGTTGACTGTGATGGAGCTTTATGGCTGCAGCACAGCTGCAAGACTCCCTAGGAACGCATTGTTCACTTTTCTCTTGGTGTTTTTATTTTCACTTTTCCTCTAATATTTCTAATTTACCCTACGGAAGACATGCGACTATCTCTGGGGTGTGGTTTTCCACAGACAGTGATCGGCTTTTGTTGCCTCGTCCAGACGGCCATTATTCATGTGTGAACCTTCACAGTGAGCGTTGTGAGGTTATCCAGAGGACTACAGCTGAGCTCTGAACCTGCCCTTACCTGACATCTACGTACTCACTCGCTTGCACACTCACTCAATCACTGATTTAGCACATTATCAAATCGTCAAAACGTTTCAAGCACTTCACAGGATTTTTGCTGCAAAGTGTGGTGACTGTGTTTTTGTAGGTGAAGGTGGCAACCAATTTGCATAGAGTAATGTCCCACAAACAACCTTGAAGTAAATGACCAATTTTATCTGGGGGATTGTTGGCCAGGGCACTGACCAGGAGAATAATGTCACGGGATCTTTAACGTCCGCCTGAACAGGCTGACGGGTTCTCTTGTTGAACATCTCATCCAAAGAATGACAATGCAGTGCCCCCCTTACATTAGCCGGACACTGGGAGCTCCAAGTCCCGATGTGGAGCTTGAACTCGCAACCTTCTGACTTGGAATCGAGACTGCTACCCACTGAGCCAAACTGACATCTATATACTGAATAAACTCACTGAGCCATCAGAGGAGAACTTCTCTGTTACGTTTAAAGTGCTGGTGAAGTAAGAAGATATTTTACATAAAAGATAGTTGGTGTGCAGTGGGAGCCTGAGTCCCTGGTAGGCTGGCTACTAATTGCTGTGTGAATAAGCAGACTTCCAATTTGTTGATTCTTCTTAATGGGACAGCGGGGTTAATTCTGTAATTGGCTAATTACATTAGCCCTGAAAGCCTTGTCCCATCCCGTCCCTCCCCTCAGACAGAGAGGCATCTGAAAGCACAAGTCCATCAGAGAGACTGCACACAAACACACACAAGGAGTTATTCATCTTGCAGATGGGCGGCACTGCACGTTGTTTGCAGTCTCTGCAGCAAGGGAAAGTGCACCCGATTTATGAGGAAAAGGCGGCAGAAACCTTGGGTCGTTTCAATTTAGAATCTTACAGATTACAGCACAGGCGGAGGCCATTTAGCCCATTGTGTCTTTGTTGCTGCTCACTCAGCACTGGAACTAACTGCTCTAACCCCATTGCGCTGCTCTGCCTCCATCACGTCTGTGCTGGTACTCATTCCCCTATTTGAAGCTATTTAATTCCTTACTTATTAATATAAATTTCCTCAATTATTGTCCCTTTTAAATGCTTAAACTTATATAAACATGCTTGTCACTGGTTATTACTTTTTTTGCTATGTGTGCAAAAGACAGCCTTTCTGTATTCTGCTGCGTTCTTATGTTTGCTTCCACACTCCCTCCCCCCTTCTCTCTCTCTCTCTCTCTCTCTGTGTCTCTCTCATACTCTACCCCTTTCCCACCCATTACTCTTTGGATATCCGGTAGCCTAGGTCTTATTCCCAGGCATCTATTAAAGTTCCTGTGCTGTCTGCTGCCATGGTAGCGAGCATAGAGTATAGAGCAGAGACATGTCTCCAGGCGTTTTCTAGCTTGTAAAGGCAGAGTTAGGGGGAGGGCCTGTCTGTCTGGAGTTCACAGTGTATTGCTGGACCCTGGAGGGATTGGAATAGGTTGGAGTACATTACACAGAAATGATCAGAGTCTGACCCTCGTACTCTGATGCTGTTCCTGTGCCCACACACACACACACCCACCCACACACAACTTGCATTTATATAGCGCCCTTTCTGCACGGTAAAGTCTCGGGTAGGATAGTAGAGTTAACAACGGTGGAACTTGATGCCGAGCAAGAGAGAAGGTGACCATAGGCATAGTTGAAGAGGAAGATCTTCATATGCTCGCTCACTTGCTCAATCACACTCACACATACAGTGGGAGGGGCGTGGGTTGACTCAGGATACAAACAGGATTGGGGATGATTTTCCACCGTTTCTACCCGGAGGCCAATTTAGCTGTTGTTGTCCCAATAGCTGTGATCAGTCAACATGGAATTAGACAGGTCTGTACAGATCAGCCCTGTACAGGGCAAAAACAGCAATAATGAATGCAATAATTAGGAGAGAATTTTCAACCTACATTCTGAAGAGCTGTATCATTCCCATTTAATTCTTAAGGTTAAGGTGGGATAAGTAGCTGTAAACCTTTATTTTACTGATTGGATATTGGCTCTGACCTCCTAAGCCTCCCCTTCTCTCTCAAACTCAAACCTGTGCCTAACTTTAGCTTCGATTTGGATCCTCCAACCTTTGGAACAAAACTGGTTTTCTTCACCCCCGCCACATTGCCTGCCTCCGCCCCAGTCTCTTACACGTAGCAAGCCTCCTTTGTTAACAGGAGTATTCAGACACCGTAAGGTGGCAGGATAAGAAAGAGAGCACAGATTGTGAGGGGAAGTTCAAGACCAACATTGGGAAGTATCTATTTACACAGGGAAGAATAAACAGCTGGAATGAATTTTCAGCAACGAGCTACAGGCTAGAATACTGGACATTTAAGAAACTGCTCAATACTGGGTCTGGAAGGATGGGATTACTTTCTCGATCATATTTAATCAAATAATAATAATCCTTGCATTTGATATAGCGCCTTATCACTTTACGTCTCAAAGCGCTTCACAGAATTTACTGGGAAGTGAATTGATTGTATATTTTGTGGGTGAAACGCGGCAACCACTTGCACACAGTAGTGTCCCACAAACAGTCATGGATTGAGTGACCCAATTTTGTTTGTGTGAAGGTATTATTAACCCCAGAAAGCGATCCGCCATTCGACTAATCAGGTTCCTACTTCCTGCTAGGCAAACAACTACAACAAGATTACATTTGTATAGCGCCTTTCATGTTGGGAGGACGTCCCAAGGTGCTGGAGAGGTGTGTGTGTGGAGTAAGGAAACCTGCCCAATGTTTCACCCCGCCTGGGAATTGAACCCAGTTCTTCTCGCTTGCGAGGCGAGTGCTCTAACCACTACTCTACAGGACTCCACAAATGACAGAAGGGCTTCATCCAAACCTGTCTTGTGGTTCTGAGATGATGTTTTTAGGATCACAATATTTGCTGTTCTTCAGACAGCTCTGTAGTTTACCATCTTAAATCTTGTGCCACAAATATATTTTGAAGCAGTTTAAAATTGCTAACTAAATGTTAGTTTTTTTAATAAATGTAAAATGTTTCTAAAATAAACCTACGTTAAGAGAAAAAAGTCTCTGTTTCTGTTTTAATTAATGACTGACATAAACAAAGTGTTATTACTCCTCACTGTGTGGGTGAGTGGCCACAACGCCGGGCATCCCATTGAGAGAGTATTGTGTCATATTGGTGTAACGGCTTATATATAAATTACCCTCACCTTAAGTCATTGAAAGATTTGAAGTTCAATTTCGTTAACTTATTTTTCTGTGAGGCTGATTGAGAGTTGAAATTAAATTACAAGCTGGGGCCATTGCAAATTGACGTCTTGTGTCATGAGAGATATGGAAAGGATCCTGTTGGAGATTTTCAGACTGATTCTTTCTGCTTTCTTTCTGAAAGGATGAAAGGCTCTTCCTCGTGTATACTTAGTTATGTGTTTTAACTTTGAAATTGGAGTTGTTTTCACAGAACAGAGAAGGTTAAGAGGGGATCTAATAGAGGGATTTGTTATTCTGAAAGGGTTGAGATGCTAGAGATAAGATCCTGCAAACATTAGTGATTTTTGATCTATGTCTCAGACAAATGTCCTACGTTCGACAGTTCTTGATTCTGTCCTTTGAGCAATGTGCAATGGAGTGGGTTTTAGACTTTCCAGAATGTGTTAGCAGGAACGGAATATTTATCCCAGTGGATTTGTTGCATTGTTCAGGTCAGTTTAGTGGCTGATTGGGCAGTTATTGGTATGGTACCTCATTCTGTCTCATCACCCATCTGCAAAGATGCCTTGCCTCCCAGCTTTGCTTCTTCCTGTCCTATGCAGTGTTCTCGGAACTCTGGTCCTCTCATCTTAAAAATATATTTAAAAAAACTACATATATTTATACTATATATTATACACTATATATTATATGCTATATATAATATATATAATGTGTGTGTATATATATATAACACACCTAATATTGTAACTTATCAGCTATTTAAAGGCATGTCTACAAACTTTTCTCATGAAGGATATTTTTCTTCAGAATGTTTCTCTCTTCTGAAAATGGTTTGTTTTCACAAAGTAGAGCAGGGGGTTGGGTTCTGTGGCACTGCTTGCCTCTTATAGCTCACTTAAGTGACTGATGTTTTCAGTGAGTGCTGTGTTGACTGAAGGTGACAGCAGAACCTGTGTTGGTCGCCATGTGATATCCACGTACTCCTCCAGCAGAGTTCACCAGACAGCAAACGGCTACGAAGGGTAGGGGATGTGCTAGTTAAGCTATTGGGACCCCAGGTTTGCTCATGCCCTGCTTCTTGTGGTTTGCAGATCCTGTAGCAGCGCTGGATGTGGGACAACAACTGCAGCTCAAGGTCCAGCGTATGCACGACATTGAAACAGAGAATCAAAAACTCCGTGAAACACTTGAGGAATACAACAAGGAGTTTGCTGAAGTCAAGAATCAGGGTAAGGGAATCTGTGACTGTTAATCTGTCTGTCCCAGAAACATTCCACCAATGGCATTGAGAGGAAAGACCAGTTCGTCTGCTATTTGATGAATTTGATCAAACATTATTGGCTAAAACAACCTCCTACTTTTCTCCCAAATAGTCTTCATGATCTTCAGAACCACTACAATAGACAGACAGGGATGTGATTTAACAAAAGATGGCTCTGATACGTTTGCAATACATCTGAACCAATTCCTAATGAGATCAGTTTTCTGTTTATTATATTTTTAAACACCGAATTTCTCAAGAAGTTGGAGTATTTTAAGACAGTTGAAGTTTTTGTGCAAAAAAAAACTGAAATGCTGGTCTGTTATCAGGCGAGACTCACACAGACTGTTGATGCTGCGCTATTCTGCTGGTGCTGATGTGAATTACATTCATCTTTTATTTGTAACTTTCTATTTTGGGAAAAATTGTTGAAAGATAAAGTGAATTGACTGTTTCAATTGGCTTCTTACACGTAAAATTCTGAGTGACTTCATTGATCTCTCGTGAGAAGAAAGCTAATTTGAGTCCAGTCAATAAAGTGATATTATATTTTGATATTGATTTTTTGAGTCATTTCAGTGAGTCTGGAGTATGCTCCAAAGCAAAACCCATTGATCCTTCTCAACCTAAACATTTGAAGTTCAATTTAACATTTAAGGAGTAATGGGACTCCATAGGGACTAGTATCATTGATTATGTGTCAGGATTGAAAAGTTACACTTTAAATCACAGCAAACCTTTGGAGTACAGGAAACCTCCTCTTGTATAACTGCACAATTGCTGTGTAAACACCTCGTCTTGTTCCTGCAGAGGTTACAATAAAGGCACTTAAAGAAAAAATCAAAGAGTACGAGCAGACGTTGAGCAGCAGAGCGGAAATCCTTGCACTTGAGAAAGAACAGAAACTGCAGAATGACTTCACAGAAAAGGAAAGGTAGGCTGTTGCGATCTGATTGTTTAGTGCTCTAGTTTCTCATATTACTCGCCTCTGTTTTCAGAGAACGTGGTAGCGACAACATAGCCGAGGCTGTTCAGGCTATTGATTTGTGCTGCTCTTTGCTCCAACAATAGAACTAATTATACAAATCCCAGCTCTCGCCCCGTACTTGTTTATATTGTTCCTCTTCAACTGTTTAATCCAATTCTCTTTTCAATCTTGACAACTTATTCGTTCTTAAACACTAGGGTTTTCTTTCACAGCCAGAAGGAATTGTACAGACAGGTTCTTCTGTGGTTTTCATCTTCAGTCTGAGATTTGAGCTCCTCAGGATACTTATTGATATTCTTCTTCTTTTTGGAGAATATTAAAGCAACATTGATGTACATAATAATAATTCTTACATTTGGTATAGCGCCTTTCATGTCGAGAGGAAATCTCTGAGTGTTTGACAGGATTTACTGTAAAGTGAAATCCCTGTATTTTGTTGGTGAAATATGTTTTGCATTATAAGCTTTACAGGTGGACAGCACGTTTTTCACCTCCGCTGTCTTTGTGAAGAGGTTTGTGGCCTCTCTTTGTTAGGTTCTAGTGACATGATATGGATCAGTATAATTTGTCTCATTGTTCTGTGAGCTTGTAAACCAATGGGAAAGGTTTGTAGAGAGGCCATTATAGTCGTGTTGACTCAGTGGGATTTGATCCCAGGACTCGGTTATCATGTTGCTCTGAGAGAAACTATTCAATCTGATATTGGGCACCTTTAAGTGTTGGAGATGCTCTGAGCAGTGGTATCTTAGAGATGACTCGACTCACGATAGCACTTAACATGCCAGGTGCTCACTCATCCACTTTATGGTAGAGGTTAGCTAGGGTTTCACCTAAGCATCACAAGTTGAGCCAGAATCAATGATATTAATCAAGCTGTTACCGTTCAAACACAAGTATAAGTAAGGTGTGATAATTGAACAGCTAAAATGTATCAGTCTGCCTGCATTACCCTTTAATACTGCGTTTAGACCTTCAGGAAGCCTGTCACTGCTTTATGAAGCCAGGAGAGAAAATCATAGCCAAGTTGATATTCTGTTTGCTACACCAAAATAGGGGCTGGTTTGGTGGTGGGGGGTAAATCTTGTTGACCAGACAGTTGTTAAGATTTTGGATGGGCAGTTAGCTTTGAAAGGAGAACAGGGGAGCAGGCAAAGCTGTGAATCTTTGCTTTATTTATGAAATATGCTATGTTTTCTGGTGAGTCTTGGGTTTGGATTTTCCAAATGTGACTTTGTTTTCTTGTAGGAAGCTGCAGGAGATGCAGACGTCCTTGGCTTCCAAGTTTGATGAGGCCGAACACAAGGTTCAAGTTTTGCAGACAGGTAAGACAGCAGCTCTGTATTGCTGCTGATTGGAAGTGCAAAGTTGCTCCCAGTAGAGTGCTTGTCACTGGAGGACTGAAAGACAGGATAGATAAATATTTGATAGGTCAGGGTGTTAAGGGATATGGGGAAAGCGCAGGTAACTGGACTTGAGGTACAGATCAGCCATGATCTTATAAAATGGCGGAACAGGCTTGAGGGGCTGAATAGCCTACTCCTGTTTCTATGAAAGAGATGAGCAGCTTCAGATGGTTTCAGAGTTGTGTGCGAGATAGAAAATGTTTAAAGTTTTATTTTTTTTTTGCCAACCTGAGATACTGAATAGAAACCTATAAATAACTAGCAAATTAAAATAGGTAGAAATCGTCAAAACACAAATCTTAACCAACTGGTACATTTCCAACTCACAGCAAACCTGAGTGGGTTTGCTCTCCTTGCTCAGATGAACTTTCCTCACCACAGATTATTGCTTTATTATAATTAAATTATTATTATATAATTTCTGAACTAATGGGATCAATTTTAAAACTTATTTTATGGGGAGGAGGCGCAGTGGGTATTAATAAATGAAAGTCTCTGCCATATTCCTCCTGTGAAATGTATTAGCCATAGGAGATCACGATACTTTCAAAGGTAGCTCTTTTTTGGGGAATGGATTTCATTTTTCCCTGTTTTCTCTTTTGCAACATTACTGAGGAGCCAGTACCGAGAGAGAGCAGAAATCGAGCGTTCGATCAGATTGGGCTATTGGTATTGAGCTCTGCCACCAATTTTGAAGAATAGCAAAGGTGGTGATGCTGGGAAGCTGTAGTTAGCGACAGAGCTACTGGTTAATGGACTTTTCTTTAGCACCATGTTAGAGAATTCTATTGATTTGATTTTAAAAGCAGCATCCATGTACAAGAGTTGTTTCAATTGTATTAAATTTGCAGTGATTTAATCCAGCCACAGGCAGAGAGAGGTTCATGTTATCAGAACCCAATCTGTCGCTGGGCGGGGGACTCATTTACTTTCTAGGTAGTTAATTTTAGCAAAAAAAATAAAATTGAGATTGCTTTTGTGAGGTTGTTTGAGGAAATGTACTGGTTTCCTTTCACAGTGCTGTCAGGGTCTAGCTATTCCTCCTGTGCAGACTGGGTTTTCATCAGGTTGTAGTAAATTAAGAGACTTTAAGCATTTAAGTTTAATGAGGACCAAGCAGAGTTACAGGTAAGTGAAGTGTGAAACACTGCTGGGAAGGAAGCAGGCAGCCTCCAGTCCAGTGCCTTCGGTGCCAGGCTGCACTCAGCCTCTTTCCAATCTTGGCTCATTCTGAAAATGTCTTTTTTTGTCCCCAGCCCTGGAATCCACTCAGACAGAGCTGTTTGATTTGAAAACAAAGTACGATGAGGAATCAACTGCAAAGTAAGTGTCTGCAGTTATGATGGAGACCATGTCTTTAATCAGGTTGACAAAGTGTGCTTTCAAATATCTATATAATAATAATAATCCTTGCATTTGATATAGCGCTTTTCACGTCGGGAGGACGTCCCAAAGCGCTTCACAGAACACACTGTAAAGTGAATTGACTATATTTGTGGGCGACCGCAGCAGCCAATTGCGCACAGCAATGTCCCACAAACAGTCGTAGATTGAAAATGACCAATTTAATTATTGTTTTTAGTTTTGGAGGGATTATTATTAGGCGTGTGGAGTAAGGAAACTTGCCCAAGGTTTCGCCCTGCCTGGAATTGAACTCAGGTGTATCATCGTCACACTGTACAAGTTATAATCCTTGCATTTGATACAGCACTTTATCACGTCTTCGAGACGTCTCAAAGCGCTTCACAGAATATACTGTAAATTGAATTGACTTTATATTTTGTGGGCAGAAGTTGTGGAAGTAGCAGAACTATCATCTTGTATAAATGCATAATCCTTTCTGCATTGGGTCCAACAACAAAATTACATTGATACATCGCCTTTCATATGGGGAGGATTCCCCAAGGTGCTGGACAATTAAGGGTTTGTATCTGAGCTGGGGGTTGGGATCAAGAAGGGTGGAGGGTAGTGGGGTGAGAGGATGACCAAAGGCACAGTCAAAGAGGATGTCTTGAGACGGGCCTTGAAGGAGGCAAGGGAGGGAGTGAGGCAGAGGAGCTCTGGGATGGAGTTCCAGAGGGTGAGGGAAGAAAAGCTGAAGTCCTGACGCCATTGCTGGAGCGGGCAGAGCAGGGGACAAGGAGCAGGCTGGTACTCGCTGAGTGGTTGTAGTGGACAGATTGGTATGGTGAGTAGAGGGGCACCATACCAGTGTGAGTAGAGGGTTTTGCCTGCCCAGCACACAGCGAGGGTGTGGATGCTGCCGTTGGCTCAAGCCTTCTGATGATTTTCATTGTGCTTCAGCATTGCCATCCACAACACCATTGGTCTCGTGTATTATAACCCACCTGCCCCCAGTGTATCAATTACAGGGTTCACAATCAGCTCCTGCTCACAATGCGATTCTAACCAGAACAAATTCAGTTAGTGTATAAAAGCTATTGTTTATGGTATTTGCTCCTTCCAAATAGGCTGCGCGGGAAAGGGCACTGATTACTTGTGTTCTGTTATTCCCAATAGGGATACGGAATAGGCCTGGACTAAGTCACTGTGTTGTGAAATATCCCACTGTGAAAGCACATGCAGAGCGCTTTGTTTTCTGTGTATGTGATTGGATTATTGCACTTTGTAAGGCTTCCATTACACTTGAATGACACTAATTAAAAACAAAGCTGTTCTTCCCATGCAGCACTAAGTAAATCTCTTCCCCATGCCATGCTCATAGTACTGTATGTAAACGCTGCCGGATTAACAGCTCTGGATTTAAACCAGCATGAATCCTGATCTCTCCTGACAGTGGGGGGTTTTCCAGTTCAACTGCCAACAGAGCCTTTGACCCCTGGTATCCTCCTCACCTTTGCTGGCCTCGTACAACACGTTAAGCGGGCAGCAGCAGCAAATTAGTAGTTTCAGCGACTGCAGTTGAAAGATATTAACATTTCAGAAGGAGACACGGCATTGCTCTACGTGCCGATTTCAGTTGCTTCATAATCATCAAAATCTAAATAGTCTCAGTACCAGATTCATGTCCGTGACTCACAATTCTAGCTGGGTGGGCAGTGGGCAGTATTGATAAGTGAGTGTGGCTGCCAACCCTGGATACAGTGACTACTCAGTGACTGTTATACAAATCTTGTTTACTGTAATGGATCTGTAGTTGCTGTCTGATAATTTTGGGAGCCCAGGTCTATTCCTCCCCAGTGTAAGGCTGGAACACTTAGAAATAAACAGTGTTACCTTCTGTGTTAGCTCAGTGTGACATGTTCTAATCAGTTATGTCTTTGCAGTTTATTTAAAGAGCAGGTTCCAGGAGAGAGGCTGGTGCTGGTGGAGTGTGTGAGGCAATGTGGGGCGGGAGGGGGGGGAGGGCACTACAGTATTAGAAGGTGATGTAGTTACAGACACACGTGCATTCTACAGCAAGGCTAGGAGTTGATCCAACTAACTTGATTCTATGGTGGTGATGTAATGGTGTGTGATATAGATGGTTTATTTTTGGCATATGCTGTGGTAGTGGCAAAGGAGGTGAGTGATACTGGATGGAGGTGGCAGCTGAGCACATTCCACAGTGGTGTTTGCCGAGCTGGCTTGATTTTTGGGGACAAAGCCCAAAACTGTGATATGGAACATTTCTCTTTGTACTCGGACAGGGAATTGTTCAGGTTAGATATCGGACATGTCAGATAACTGGGACCTCCATAACATGGCTGATCAGAGCACTTGTCCACTTTACACACCAGAATAGCATTTCTCTTTGCTGAGATGTATACATTGAAATGGCTTATGGAGATATTACCCAATTACAGATGAATTCTAGATTGTGCTGTGCTTTGTTACACTGGGAGGTGGATTGAGAAAGCCAGAGAATGGGTTTAGATTGTTTTATACTCAGCTTTACCAAGTCTTGGCTTCCTATTTCTCTTCATTCCAATTCCAAAGCTTTGGGCAGCCAGGACAGAAAAAGAGGCATTTAGCTTATTTTCCACTCTTCTTTGTATCCTAAGTGGGGGTGGGGGTGGGGTGGAGCACAGGCACAGGCAAAGTGAATGGCCTCCTGCTTCTTGTGTGGTCATTTCAGAATTAACAAAAGCTGAAATGTACAGTAACAGAGCCGGAGCAGGCAAGTCACTGCCTCCCTTTGATCTCAGGTACACTCCACACATCTCTCATTGTGTGTCAGTCACAGCGGCTGCAAATGGTCGTCTACAATTCCCTCGAGCAGCTGAGGGTGGCTTCCAGCTGTCACATTTTATTTGACACGATGGCTTGAAAGCAATTGTGCGGAGTTGTCTCCGTCCCGACCCTTGCTCAGTACAGCTTAATCTTGGCTAATTCTTTTGTGCGGTTTTATTTATGAATGCACTGTATATCCTGGGATACGGTGGAGGAAGATAGCTATGTTGAAGCTGGTAAAACTGTACATCATGACATCTAAATGTGTTTGTGATTACCAATTAAGAGAGATGAGGCTGAAGACATTTATGATAGAATAATGGAAAGACCCCAAGTGCTCACAATCCTAATAATTAACATCACGTTATTAAACTATCAAAATGTTGTCAATTTTTATTTAAATTTGCAAAGTAAATTAATCGTATTTATCATTGCAACTTGATTAATATAATGAAACCACTTACTTCACAGGAAGGTGTCGGCCTTCCGTCATATGTCACACGGGTTAGATTTACGTCTCCGCCACAGCAATACACCTTTCAGACGTTTGAAAGTCATGTCCTAGTTTTAGATGATCGGAAATATAAATGTAAAATAGGAACACAGCAGCTTACAAAACGAAGGTAGAAGTTTCAGTTCCTCTGAGACATTGTGGGAGGGATGGTCGTGGAGTATTCACTATTCAGCAAACATTACAACAAATTCATGACATTTGAGAGCCATAAAAAACCACATTCACACACAATCTCTTCTGCAGTGCATTCCCTTGAGATTAGAAGTTTGAGGGGAGATCTAATTGAGGCTTTTAAAATAATAGAGATTCGATAGGGTAGCTGCAGTGAAACTATTTCGTCTGATGAGGAATCCAGAACAAGGGGGCATAATCTTAAAATTAGAACTAGGCCATTTAGGAGTGAAATTAGGAGGCAGTTTTTCACCCACAGGCCGGTGGAAATCTGGAACTCTCCCCCAAAAGGCTGTGGGTTCTGGATCCATTCACATTTTCAAGACTGAGGTGGGTAGATGTTTGTTAGGTCAGGGTGTTAAGGGATATGGGGCAAGGGCGGGTAATTGGAGTTGAGGTGCAGATCAGCCATGATCTTATAGAATGACGGAACAGGCTCGAGGGGCTGAATGGCCTCCTCCTGGTATTGTGTTCCCTTTTCCACTGATTACAGTGCGCCTACATTTTGCTGACTGTGGCTCACCGTTACACTAATCTATTAAACACGTTGTTCATACATTTCAAATTTATTTCAGATCTTTTTCAATCCTGTCTTTTAATATTTAGCATAATTTTGACATCTAATTTTAATGAAATTACCTGACTTGCGAAGGTCGGGGAAACCCTATTGAACATATCACATTGTTACTGACGGCATTAATCGACATAGTCAAAATATTAACAATCATATTAAAACATGAGGGAAGACTGATATTATGCCTGGAGCTCTGATTATACGGATAGCTCTTGTATTTTACTGTTCTGTGATCGGTGCTGTTTCCTCTACATTCTTGCCCCACCCCACCCTCCGCTTGGCAGGCACTGGCACTGGCTTGCTTCACGTCCCCCGCACTGGCCACCCCACCAGCGGCGGGAGGGCCTTCAGCCTTTCTGCCCGCAGCCTAAAGAACTCTGGTCATCTTCCACAACCACCCTTGGCCCCCACCCCTCCTGAATCGAACCCCCAACTTGCGTGCAAATTCTCAACTGTCCAGTGGCTTGAGATGAAAGGCACTATACAGACACAATTTATTGTTGTTTCAGGGAGCAGTTAGTAGGTGAGCGCTCAGATGCTACCCCGCGTGAAGGACGCTACATCATCGAATTATACAGCACAGAAGGAAACCATTAGGCCCATTGTGTATGTGCCAACTCTTTTAAAAGAGCTATCCAAATCAATCCTACTCCCCCACTCTCTCCCCATAGCCATACATATGCAAGTTGTTGTTGTTATAAGGACCCTTGATGGTGAGCAAGGTTCAGAGGATGAAACAAAGAATTCTTGTTGCAAATAAAATACTAAGCAACTTAGCCTTAGGACTGTGTACTGCTTGGTTTGATTTGCAAACTACCCACACGCTGATGTCCAAGCCACGCTTTCATCTGATTTTATTCAAACTACTTGTGGTTTTCACATCGGGGAGAT